TATATATATGTATATATATATGTATATATGTATATATATATATATATTTATATATAAATATATATATATATATATATATATATTTATATATAAATATATATATATATATATATATATATATATATATATATATATATATATATATTATTTGTCTTAATAATCTTTAGTCTTCCTGCTGACAAATGTGCTTCTTACATAACTTCGTGGATTCAGGCTGGCATGGAATCCTTTATTCCCTTTTGACGATTCCAGATCAAGCTTCACTTTTCTCCATGGTTTTCCTCACATTGTGCTGCTGCTATTGCCAATTGAAACCATTACTTCCATATCTATCAGCAAAACAATTCTCCAGAAAACAGAAATCTGTTTATTACTGCTAGAAACCATTGTAAAAAGGTTTTGTCTAGCGCCAAAGCCCACTATTCCCAGGTCATGAAATCTCGTATTTCATCACAAAAATTAGGCTCTCCTGACTTCTGGAGAATCTTTAATAGTATCAATAATAAGGGCGAATCTGTTATTCTACCTCTCTTGGATGGTTCAGACTTCTCACCTCACTAAAACAAAGTCACCTCACCTAAAAACAAAGATGAAATGTTTGCTAAGAACTTTTCATTAATATCATCTCTTGATTCCACCAGTTGCGTTCTACCTGATATAGCCGTCAACCAGGTTGATTTATTGCTTGACATTCGTATCACTCCAGCTTCTGTATCTAAAGTGATTTCCTGCTTAGACTCTTCTACAGCTTGTTGTCCAAACAACATACCTGTTATAGTCTTGCAGAAATGTTTTTCCGAGCTGTCGTCTGTAATTTCAAAACTATTTAACAAGTGCTTATCAGAGTCTTGTTTTCCAACCTTTTGGAAAGCGACATCTGTTATCCCTATTTTCAAAAATTCTGGAGAGAGATCTGATTCATCTAACTACCTTCCCATTAGTCTTCTTTCTATCATAAGGTTTTTTAATCTTTAATTAACAAACACTTAATCTCTCATCTTGAATCTAATAACTTACTTTCTAATCATCAATATGGATTTCGATTTTCTGGTTCTACAGCTGATTTGCTAACAGTAATAACCAATAGATTTTATCATACATTAGATAGAGGTGGAGAGGTTAAGGTCATCACTTGATATTTCTAAAGCTTTTGATAAAGTTTGGCTTGCTGGTCTTCTCGATAAGCTTTCTTCTTACAGTATATCAGGTAATATCTTTAAGATTATTGAATCATTCCTTTCCAATCGTAGTATAAAAGTTTTCCTTGATTGACAGCACTCTTCTTCATATTCTGTAACTTCAGGGGTTCCTCAAGGTTCAATCCTTGGCCCTATACTCTTATTAATTTGGATTAGCAATCATCCAAATATTCTCACATCTAGGTGGCATTTTTTGCTGATGATATTATGATTTATTCTTGTCATGATAAGAAGCCAATACTCTCTAATTGCTTGGAGGGGGCATTTGAGCTTGAAAAGGATCTCATTTCTGCTACAGCATGGGGCTCAATGGTTGGTGAAATTTAATTCAGATAAAACTCAATTTTTTTTTAGCCATTCGTTATTGCAATAATTTAGATCTTTCTATATTTATGAATAGTAATGTACTCCATTAGTCATCTACCCTTCATCTTCTTGGATTAACTCTTACTTACTTCCGATCTTTCTTGGAAACCATATATCAAACTCATTTCAAAATGAATTATGCGGTAGTGGTGTAGTGGTAAAACACTTGCTTCATAAGCGAGAGGTTCCGAGTTCGATCCCCACCACATCCTTGGTAGTACTGCGCTCAACTTGTTTCTCTGCGCAGCGGCCTTGTTCGTCAAGGTTCGTGTTTTGGAGTTATAGAGTTGAGAGAGGGTTATAACCACTATTAAGTAGCCTCCTCGTCTGTAGTGGCCTTCTCAGCTTTGAGGAGGTGAATAAAAAAAAAAAAAAAAAATTAGTATCTGCTAAGTTTGCATCTCTTTTTTTAACTCTACACTTTTTTACTCCAGATTTTATTCTTTATCTCAATAAATCTCAAATCCGGCCTTGTATGGAAAACTGTTGCCATATCTGGGAGGGATTTTTTAATGATGCCCTTTCTCTTTTAGACAAGGTGCAAAATCGTGTTGTAAACATAGTAGGACCTGCTCTCACAGCCAACCTCCAACCATTATCACATTGCCGTAATGTTGCTTCTCTTTCTCTTTTCTACAAATACTATAATGTGCACTGCTCTAAAGAGCTTGCGTTTCTTGTGCCATCTACTAAAATTTATTCTTGTGTTACTCATCATTCAATTAAATCTTATCCTTTTTCTGTGACTGTTCCTAAATGCTTCAAATACTCTTATTCCTCTAGTTTTTCCTCAAACATTAGTTCTTTGGAGTTTTTCTTCCAAGCTTAAGTCACTCTTTTGTTGTTGTTAGATTGCATCTCTTTTTTTTCCTACAAATACAAATCATAGTTGCTGCTCAAACTAGCTATTATCTCTAGTTTGATCAATCAAAACTTGTTTACACTTGACTTGTCTCTCAGCAAAGTCTCACACTTTTACTGTATCTGTCCTTTCATGATATAAAAGTTTTTATTCATCTAGTTTTTTTTTTTTTTACATCAACAAAATCACTCTCAACTCTCATCCTTTTTTCATATTTCCTGACTCATACAAATTTTTATGTTTTCAGTTAACTGCCTTCTTGCTCTTTAAACCTTTGTTATCTAGTAACTCAAAACATAATAGTGGTTGCTTGCAACCTTTTCAGATAAAATTATATGTATGTGCCAGTATTTACTAAATAGTAAATGTATGCATATATTTAAATTAATAAGTGCTTTAAAATAATAAAGTACTTTAGGTTTTTTCCTCACCCTGGCTTTGAACCCCTGCTAAATTTTATAATTTTTCCAGGGCCGGGTTTGTAAAAAGTCCCATTTTTAAATGGAACCAGGGCCCTGTTCAATTACTATTTGTGTGACATTTTTTTGTTTCTGGAACAACTTTGACCTTCACATTTTAATTTTGGAAAATGAAAACTCTTTTGCTGCTTCCTAATGGTATTTGAAGCTGCTGCTTTCTTTTTCTTCTGACAAATCTAGATTGTCTAGATTGTTTGACTTTCTTAAAACTTTAATTTTCGAGAGTTGAAAGAACTAGTCTACAGACCAAGAATCAAGGACTAATTTCAGAAGACATCACAAAGTTAATGCCAAAAAGAAAGGTAGAAAAAGTTTTATGATACTGATGTATTTCTAGCTGCAGATTATGTTGATGATAGATTTTGAATACTGCTAGATGATATATTACTTTAAACTCTAATTACAAGAGTTTAGTTCATTTGTACTGCTTTTAACTCTTACAAATTAGTGTAGAGTAGCTATTTTCTGCACTTTAGTTTATATAGAGTAGTCTGTTTTTCACTTTAACCTGTTGTTTTAAATAATTTTAATCAGAACCAGAAATTTTAATGGAGTAAGAGTCTAAGAAGCTTTAATTTAATTAAAACCTAGAGCCAAAACCAATTGCTACATATTGCTAAACATTGGCTCCAACTTCCATTTCTAATTATTTTTTCGTCTTTTTTTTATTTCGGCATGTTTTCATTTTAAAAACCTCTCAAATATTTCCTATTTTATAAATATTTCTATTTCTTGATCTTTTCTAATACGTAATAAGAATAAAAGATTTATTTACGGATATTAAAAATTATTTGTAACTTATAGTAAAAAAAAATATGTAATATTTTTTTATTATAAGTTCATAATTTATTTATTGTAATTACTTGTTGTCTTTTCAAGTTTGAAATGTTTTATTTAAAAAAAAAAAATTTTCTTTTATTCTCAAATTTATTCAAGCTTAGCAAGGTTATGTATTCATTTAAAAGTTAATAAAATTTACTTTTCAAATGTCTGTTGTTCTCACGCTATTTACTTGAAGTTTTAGCTTGATTATTATTTTATTAGGTTTTAAAATCTACCACTAATTTATTATTAAAACCGTGTTTACGATTTTTTTTAATATTGTTTAAAATCAGAAAGTCTTTCAAGTTTAGTCTTGGTATGTTAAACACATGTTAATTAAAAAACATTAAACATTTTTAAAATTTAATTCAAGTTTTTCATTAAGGTTTTCGGACCATTCAAAATAAGAAACAGTGTTGCAAGAAACTCTAAAAGTTGCACGGAAACATTGCTAAGAAATAAGAAAAAACAAATATTTTTTATATTATTATCATTATTTTTAGATTTCTTTCCTTCCACGTTATTTTTAAAGCGTCAGATCATTTATTTACTTAAAGTTACAAGTTCATACTATGCCACAATATCAGAGTGTTTTTTTATATTTAAAAAATGGAAAATAATTACTGTAGTAGAAGTAAATGCTTATTCCCTGTAGAGGTTAAAAGAACCGGATGTAAACTGTTTACGGGTGTAATCTGTCTACTCATTTTTAAAACAATTTGCCGTTAACCAAATCTTCGGCTGCTGCACATATACTAAATTATTATTTCTAAACGGCGTTCTTTCTATGATCAATCTAAAAAAAACAACGAAAATGTAAATATGTAAATATGTAACTATGTTTTTTGTTGTTGTTGTTGTTGTTTAAAAACAACTTCGAAAGAAATCGCTAACTCATAAACGTACTCATAAACTTTATGTAATACTTACATAAAGTTTAATTGCTACATTCATTAAAATATTGTTGTCTAAAGCTGTGCTATTATAAAGCAATGCTTTCATAATCAATTAATCAATACCACTTTCGTAACAGAAAGCAAAAAATCCAAATAAGTTTTTTTGCCGAGCTGAAATCGGCTTAGTACGGCCATCAAGTAAAGTCCTTCGAATTTCGCGCGCGCGTGTGTGTGTGTGTGTGCATATATATGTGTGTGTGTGTGTGTGTATATATATGTATCATTTTTTATGTTTGCATTTTTTAACTTTTATATTTATGTCTTTTATATTTCTTAAAAGAAATTTAAGTAAAAGGTTTTTTCTCTAATTTTGTAGGCTTTTGGAACTTATTTAGCAGTATTAGTCCAAGCAAAGATTATGAAAATACTAGCATACTAAAAAATGAAGTATCTTGTTTAGAAGAGCTGAGTCAGCAACTCTATATTGAAGCAATTGATCTACATAACACGAAACAACGTCTCATTTTCTCCAAGACGCTTCAAGGTCGCTATTTTGATTTTTTAGGTCACATTTTTTCAATATACTGTATATGGAAAATTTTTATATCTTCTGTTAACATAATTTTTGATCGAGTTGGTAAAATTGACCCTGTTACACGTAGCATTGAAATATCAGTACATTACTTGGGAATTGAGTTTGACGTAGCTTTTTGGTCGCAGCAAATTTCATTTCTTTTAGTTGGTATTTTAATTGTTACTTCTATTCGAGGTTTACTTATTACATTAACCAAATTTTTTTATGCGTTGTCAAGTAATAAATCTTCCAATATTATTGTGCTGGTGCTAGCTGAAATTATGGGAATGTATTTTGTATCGTCAGTTTTACTTATGCGTATGAATATGCCACCACAATACCGAGAGATTATTTCACTAGTGCTTGGAGATCTGCAGTTTAACTTTTATCATAGATGGTTTGACGTTATATTCTTGGTCAGTGCTTTAGCGAGTATAGTGGTGTTATATGTGGCTCATAAGCAAGCTCCTGAAAAACAAATTCATAGTTACAATTCATAGCGTTTAATTTTTTATCAATTTCAACAATAGATATAAAAAATAATAGATTTATAAAATTAAATTTTAATGAAAGAAACATAATTTTAAATAAAAAGCATTTTTTTTTTCTTATTTGCTTTGTTTTTTTTCCGTTTCGTTGTTTCCGCTATTTAAAGATATCTTTGTAGTTGTAGTATTTAAGCGGAAATGCGAAGTAACTTATTTTGTTTTTGCGCACTTGGTTTGTTTTTTGCGCATGGACCATTGAATTAATAATCCATGAAATTTTTTAACATTTAACATAAAAATAAATTAAAATTATTTTTATAATTTTTTATTTCACATGAGATTTTCATTATGTCATTATGTTGAGTCAAAGTTTTTCACTTTTATGTTTTTTTTTTAATATTTATAGTTTTATTTACGATCAATTTTTATCAAATTGATATAAAAGATGACTAGTTTTGTATGTAAGTTTTCATTAATTTTTAAAATAAAAGAGTGTAACTTCCATTTCGGAAATTTTGGGCATTAATGATTTCTTTATCGGATTTTCAATGAAAATATGTGATTTAACTTTCATTATGTTTATAAAGGATAGTGACCGAGGCAACTATGAGCTTTTAGGAAAAATAGTTAAAACAAGTTTCCTTACGTTTATTTTTCGTGCCAACAGCAAAATGATAGGAATATTCTGCAAAATAAAACACATAATACGTGGGAGAAATGTATTGAAATAGTTTCTTCCGACAGTATTAAATACTCTGTTAGTTGCGCGGCTATATTTAGGAGTTAATTGTGAATTATTGAAAAGGTGCTTGTTTTTATTTGAATACTTTTTTTTTTTTAGTTTTTTAAAATAGGTTTCCTGCTCACTAAATCTTTCGACGGAAAGAAAATTTTTTTAGAGTATTGAGACTTATCACATACGTATATACATTGTTAAAAATTATTTTTGTTATTTTATTATTATTTTCCTTTTAAAGTTAAATACTCAAGAATCATGAAAAAATACTGGGGAATTATTTATGGCGGCAAGCACATTGTTTTTAAGAAGCAAGCGTGCTTCATATATTATCAGCTTTTTTGTATAACTTGTTATTTAAGTGCAATTTGTTTGTTGCTCTACTTTAAGCACATTTCATTGCAAACCCTATGTTTTTAAGTTACATAAAATATATGCGATTATAAAATCAAGATAAAAAAACTGAAATATATATTAAACTATTTTTTGAGATTTTTTATATTGCCATTGTTTCCGACATGTTAGTTAAAAAAATTCAATTAAAATGGGATTGTTATAACATTTTAATGAAAGATAATTATTTACAAATAGTATTTGCAGATTTATAACAACGTGGCAAAGATTTGTCACAAAAATTTAAAAATAATATTTATTTAACTCGAGTCTTGGATATTTTTTCCGACTATTTTTTCTTGTTGTCTTTTATGCAATTATGCATTAATTTACTTTGTTTTTTCATAAAGAAAACCCTATTTTATTTTTTTACAAAAATGATTCGGCCTTACAAAAGCTATATATTGTTATTATTTTTTACTCAATATTGAATTTATAAAGGAAAAAGATTTTTATTTAGATAAAACTATAAACAAGATTAGTCTAAATTTAATAAAAACAGACTATCATTAATAATGCTTATCGTATATTTTTAGCAACTACATTAAGTTAATTTTAATAATTTATTCTGTCTTGATATTAAAATTTATATAAAATCACAAGCATCAAGCTGACGTTAAAAGGCACGTTTAAAAAAATTATAAATAGTACGTAAAACGCTATATATATATATATATATATATATATATATATATATATATATATATATATATATAATATATATATATATATATATAAACTTTGGAAAGTTTTATTTGTTACTTTATCATACAAAAATATCTTGTACACAGTTATCTGTATAAGTGTTGTGTGGGTATTGTGTGTGTGTGTTAAGTTACTGTGGATAATCTATTAAAATATTATTTTAATGTGTTTTTTAATTTTGAATAAGTTGAAAAGTTTGATTTTTTAAACAACAAAATGAAGTGTAATCAAAGTAGCGTTCGAAAATAAAAATTAAAAATTCTTTAGCAATAAAGTTATTCATTCTAATATTAACAATAATGCAATTTAAACTGTTAAGCTTTTTGTAAACAATATTTTTATCAACTATATTTTATCTTTGTTTTTTACCTGTAAACCTTTCTGTCATTAACTTTTGTGAACAATCTTACGGAATATTTATCGAATATCCGGTAAGAATAGTAGTCTGAATAGTAGAAACCTTCAAATAACATTCTTGTTTAACAAATTATATTTTCTAATGTATTGAACATCAATATTAAGTTTGAATTTAATTATGATATATATATATATATATATATATATATATATATATATATATATATATATATATATATATATATATATATATATATATATATATATATATATATATATATATATACTGTTTTTTGTTTTATATGTAAATTAGGGTTCAATGATCACATATACGAGTTGTATGTATTGTATTTGAACTAGATCAACTGATGTTAACAATTTTCTGGAACATGAATCCATCAAGTAAAGCGAATGCTTTATTATATGGATTGATTGCAACTTTTATAATTTTGTCATTTATAGCGTACTGCTTCAACGAAGGCAAAAGCATATTTTTAAACCTAATTTGGTTACAAATACAAAAAATAAAATCTCAAAATAAAAGCGACGTTGAGAACGGCATTGTAACCGTGTAAAACATTTGTGAAACCAACAAAAAGAAAGCAAACAGAATAAACTTCTAAGGATCGAACTATTATCAAAGATTCTGATGGCTGGTAGTTATCCATATGAAAAGGATTTAAATTATAGCTATATTTAATGCTCGTTACCAAGCATACAAGCAGTTAAATATTCATCGCTACTATTTTAGTAAATCACAAATATATCACAAAGAATTATTAAAGGTGATGTTTCAATTGTAAAAAGGATATTCCGACTTAAAACACAGAGAGTTAGGTCTTAATTTTTTAAGAAGAAGAAACAAAAAACAAATAATGAAAAACAACATAAACAAGTATGGTTTTATTATTTTTTAGTTTAAACTAAATAAAAAGATCAAAAATTATGTTAAAAATAAAAAAGATAAAAGAATCGGCTTTTATTGTGATATCATACGATGTTTTGATCTCTCTTCCAATGTTTTAGTCTCATTTCCATGATTTTCCAAAATACGAAATTTCTAGCTCAAAATAATATAGACAAATTTTAAAAATCTGTATAAAATATATAGTACTTAAGCGGAAATGCGAAGTAACTTATTTTGTTTTTGCGCACTTGGTTTATACGTTGCATTATATATAACTAAATAATATATTCTTTGATAATATATGGCGTTTTTATCTGTTGTTTTTACAGCTTTTAGTTGCAAAAGTTTTTATTTAAGTTCCATTCATTTGTGTGCATGTGCAATTTTTACCTTGTTCCAAAAAGTTTTTATTTAAATTCCATTAATTTGAGTGCATGGTCAAGTTTACCTAGTTTAAAAAACTTCATTTAAAAACTCTTACCTTAGATAAAGTTGTCAAAAATACAAAAGTAGCGCATCACACTACTTCATAAAATATCTATCCGATTTGTAAATATATAACCATATATATATGGCTGCCTATATCCAAAAATCAACATTTTCTAACATTTGTTATTAGTTAATTTAGTTTTGGTAATTATTTATTTTACTACTACTATTACTACCTATTTTATTATTTACAATTCTGATTTATTAATATTATTTTTTCTCCGATAAGTTTCACGCTTATAGAATAATTTATGTTCTTTAAACAGTGGTGTTAAACACTTTCAATCGGATTATTTATAAACCAGGCTACTACTAACTTTAAAATTTATCGGTAAATAAATAAAATTAAAATTAAGTCAAGTTTTGCCGTAAAATCAGTTATGTCGGTAAAAATAAAAAAGCATAAAAAATCATAAATTAAAAGCCGTAAAATGTAAAAATTAGTATTATTTTAATTTTTTTTGAAAAAACATAAACCTTGAGGCAACAGTCTGTTTATGCAAATCGTCACTTATTCTGAATTTAATTTTTGTCACAAATAAAGTTGTCACAAATAAAGTTTCAAGGTGTTAAGTTTTCTTTCCAGTAAAAGTTTAAGGTGTGCAGTTTTCTTTTCAGTAAAAGTTTAAGGTGTGCAGTTTTCTTTCCAGTAAAAGTTCAAGGTGTGCATTTTTCTTCCAGTAAAAGTTTAAAGTGTGCAGTTTTCTTTTCAGTTGATTCATAAATCCACATTTTTTTTTAAATAAACTTGAATTTGCTGTTTGAATTGTATTTGAATCAAGCAATAAGTTGCTCAAGTAATAATGTATACAAGATTGTCATCAGGTGAAAATCGATATTTGTTTGCGCCCCAATGCTCTAAAATAAATATTATGTCGTCTGATATGTCGGAAAAAATAAATATTATGTCGTCTGATATGTCGGAAAAAGCTATTGTAGAACAGACTTTGCGTTCAAGTTATGAAAACCTGATGCTTTTCAATCTCAAACAATCATACTAAATCGGAATGATGTCTCTACAAGATTGCTCTATACCAATTTGTGAATTCAAAGTATTTTATCTGTTAATCCTTCTAAAATGTATTTAACTTATTTAATATTATTAAATAACCAAATAATAATTGGAGAGTTTATTTTTTAACTACTGTTGTGTAATCAGGCTGGTCTTAACAACTAACAATAAAAGCTTTTCAAAACTTTTTTTTAAAACTTTAATATATTTGCACTTCGTTACGTCACAATTCTATGACATAATTTAATGCAACGTATAAAAAAAATAACAACGTTTTATAACGTAATTTAACAATTTTAAAAACATATTATATTTATAATATATTTTTAATGAAATTAAAACTGATGATTTAAATATTTTTTTCTCTGTCAATTTTAGTCTAATTTTGATGTTCTTTGGGTATAAACAGATATATATATATATATATATATATATATATATATATATATATATATATATATATATATATATATATATATATATATATATATATATATATATATATATATATATATATAAAAGAATGACATTAAAATTACCTATTGGTTGGACAAAGTTACATACTTATGTTGGAACATATATTTACAGTATAAATAATGCTTCTCAAGTCTTTTTAAAAGTAAAGTTCAGATAATAATAGTCTATAAACCATCTCTTCTTTCAAACCCAAAAACAGATGCAGATGAACGTATCACCTACTTTATTGGTCATTCCCAACATTGAGTATGCAGGGAAAATTAAGGTGCCTTAAAAAGCAACTCCAAGAAATTGTCTAAATCTAATATATGGTATTTGACAAGTAAATACAGACTCTGGTTTATCTTCTTTGTCCCGGTGGATCAGTTCATGTATGGACACCCAGATTGAGTTTAACCTTCTTCAATGACCTGGTTTGAATGACTCCATATGCTGAATCATTCTAT